GTGTGTGTGTGTGTGTGTGTGTGTGTGTGTGTGTGTATATATATATTAGTAAAGTTTCTCAAGTTAATGAATTTTTATTATTTTTTTCAGTGTCTTATACGTACAAGATACCCTTGAAAGTGAACCAAAAGTATTTCTTGATCCTAATACTTTTTCCGAGGATGGAACTGTTGCAATTACCAGTAGTAGTTTTACTGAAGATGGTAGCATTTTCGCATATGGATTATCTAAAAGTGGTTCTGACTGGAGGACTATTCATTTCCTGAATGCACATACTGGTAAGATAATCTTAAAATTTTTAAGCTTACAATTCTGCTCTAATACGTATATTTATTTATTAAAAATTAAAATGTATGTAATATTTACGAAGGTGAAAAGTACTCAGAAATTTTGGAAAAAGTCAAGTTTTCATCGATTACATGGACTCATGATAACCGTGGTATTTTTTACGGACAATATCGAGATCAGCAAGGAAAAACTGACGGTTCAGAAACGTTAGGTAATGAAAATCAAAAATTATGCTACCACGTTGTTGGTACATCACAATCAGATGATGTGGTCGCAGTTGAATTTCCTGAAGAACCTTTGTGGAGGATGTAAGTTTTTTAATTTTTTAATTTCTTTATTACTATAAAATATGTTGAGACACATTTTTTTTGTTTAGATATTTAAATTAAAGTATAATATTTTATAAATAAATTCTCAAATTATATTAATCAAATCAATAATAAGTAAAAAATACTTCTAGTTATGTCTTCAAATATATCCAGATTTGTGCCAAATATATATATATATATTCATATATAATGTATAAAGATAAAAAAAAATTTATCTGTTTATATTTGTGTTTTTAAGTTAGTGATGAATATTTTATTCTTTCTTAAATATCTTACACTTCTGTGTTATTACTATATATATATATATATATATAAATATAATATATCTCATATATTTTCAGTACGTGACCAATATTGATAGTAAAGCTGTATTCCGCACAAATAAAAATGCACCTAATTACAAATTAATAGCTATAGATTTATTGGATTACGAACAACACAAATGGGTTGATCTTTTGCCAGAACATCCTGAGAATGTACTAGATTGGGCTGAAGCTGTGGATGGAGACAAATTTGTTGCCTGTTATATACAAGATGTTAAGGTAAATATATATCTAAAGTATTTACATTGATTATAATAAAAAATACACTAATAATTAATTTCTTATAGAACATTTTGCAACTGCATTGCTTGAACACTGGTAAAGTTCTTAGATCATTTCCTCTTGATCTTGGTACTGTTGTTGGATTCTCGGGAGAGAAGAAATATTCTGAGATATTTTATCAGTTTACATCATTCCTAACCCCGGGCATTATATACACAATCGATTTAAAAAAAGAAGAGGAGCCACGTGTTAGTATCAATCTTTTTAAATGCTATAAGTATGATTTGACATATAATATGACATTTTTTTATTAGATGTAGTTATAGCTTGATTTGATAATTGGTATTGTTTTCAGATCTTGCGAGAAATCAAAGTGAAAGATTTTGATGCAAGTTTATACAAAACTAGTCAAATATTTTATAAAAGCAAGGATAGTACAAAAGTACCCATGTTTATAGTAACAAGAAATGTATGTAAATTATTAAAAAATCAATACTAAAATATGTTTAATTATGAACTGATTAGATCTTTGATATACAGCGATTTATAAGAATAGTTTAAGATTATAATACATTTTTTTGTGTTTCTTCTTATCAATATTAAAATAAAAAAATTTTTAACATAGGATGCTACATTAGATGGAACTATGCCAGGCTTACTTTATGGATACGGTGGTTTTAATGCAAGTATTCAACCTACGTTCAGTGTTACAAGACTTGTCTTTATTCAACATTTTAATGGAGTACTTGCAGTTGCTAATGTTCGTGGAGGAGGGTATGTAAGGCATTCGTAATACCGGAAAAATATATACATATATATAAATATCTGTATCTGTTTGGATAAAAAATATTATTCTTTGTTATAGTGAATACGGAGAAAGATGGCACAATGCAGGACGTTTTTTTAACAGGCAAAATGCATTTGATGATTTTCAATATGCAGCAAAATATCTTGTAGAAAATGGATATACTACCTCTGCGAAATTGACGATTCAAGGTGGCAGTAACGGTGGTCTGGCTGTTGGTGTATGTGTAAATCAAAGACCTGATCTATTCGGTGCTGCCATAGCTCAAGTGGGGTTAGTTAAATTTTTTTATTTAATTTATTTTTAAATTACCGATATATGACATGTGTGTAAAAATATTAATTTTCTTTTTTAAATTGCAGAGTTATGGATATGTTACGTTTTCATAAGTTTACTATCGGTTCTGCTTGGGTCTCGGATTATGGCAATCCCGATGATCCCAAGCATTTCGAGAACTTGTTGAAATATTCACCTTTACATAATGTAAGGATACCACAAGATGATATACAATATCCTGCGATGTTGCTTTTGACTGCTGATCACGATGACCGTGTCGTACCTTTGCATACTCTTAAATTAACAGCTACTCTTCAATATACACTTGGAAATGTGTCAAAACAGAAAAATCCTTTATTTGCAAAAATAGATACCAAGGCAGGTCATGGCAGTGGAAAACCAACTATGAAAATGGTAAATATTTCTGCAAACGATTCGTATTTAAGCCAATATAAATGATTTTATTTAAAAAATATCAGGCATAATGAAAATATAAGGCATAATAATATATATTTTATTATATATAATTTTTTTAGATTGAAGAGAGTACTGACATTTTATCATTTATTGCGCAATCCTTGGGCTTGGAATTCAAATTGTAATTAATGCTTAAAAAAGTCTAAAACTCAACAGATTTTGCATAAAATCCAAAATCAATGGATTGTAATGTGATGTAACTAAACGCGCTAATACGATTATCACGTATATTGCAACATCAAGTATGCTTTGATTGCAAGTTCTTTTATAATAAATGTTTTTTATGGAATAAAAAAGTAAGTAAATTTGTATCTTACGACAGTGTTTATATAATATGTATTTTTCTTTTATTTAAAGTGTAATAAGCATATAATCGAGCATTGAGAAACATTGAATGAAGTGCTAGATGTCTGTTTTAAGATAATATTAAAAAAATATATGTAATAATTAGCTACCTTTTACTAAAACGTTAATCTCTCTACAAAAATGTCTCCATATTTTTTATTTGTTATACAAGAAGAAAATAAATCTAAAAAATTTCTTAAAAAATAACTCATGAAGTCTCTTATTGTTAATATTCACTGGTGTACTATTAATATATATTAATATATATAATGTTTTAATAAGAATTAACAACATTTTTATATTTATACTGAGACAAGTATCCTTGATGTAGTTGTACGTAACTATGTATATAAACTCAATCAGAAAATAATATCAATGGAGTGATTTGCTGGATGGCAAATGAATCACTTTTAAGTTGATGAATTCTTCAATTATGCTTATATCAGTATTAATGTCATGAAACTATAGTTGTAGAAATTATCTTATGTTATCTATCTGTAAAATATACTTTATATATGACTTTTGTTGAACGGTTGTTGATAACCATTATTCTTAAGTAATACAATGAAAAATGCATATTTGCTTTGAATTGCTCATTGAAAAATTCAATGTTTGGAGTTAGCTTTTTATTTTTATATATAAATTATAATAAATAAGAATTATAAATTTTAATACATAAATTACATAAAATAAATGTTTCATATAACTTAATAAGTTAATGACAGGAAACAATTTTGATTAATGATAGAAATTCTTATAAAAGTTAGTTTTTATTAACTACAAATAATTAACAAGAAAAATTTCATGTATGTTTTATCATAATGAGCAAAAATTTCGTCTTAATACATAAATGTGGAATCTCTTTTTAATACCCCATGATCACAAACGTGACATTACAAAATTCGGAATTGCATTTTCTGATCCGTAACCCAAGTTTTGCATTACAAGGTATATGAAAATAATAAAAAAGCTAAAATAAATTTGATCACATTTTAGCTTGTAAAAATTGAACAGATAAACGATATCGCGGTATGTATTTCCTCTGACGTCAGACGATAGTAAATCGAGGCATGATAAGGTTTATGATACCGTTTATTCCATTCCGATTTATAGATAATGTCAAGTTTTAGTCGAAATTGCTGGTGAACATCGCAGTAAAAAATTGCGAGAAAAACTTTCCCATATATTGCTCCTCTTTAACTGGCCAAACACCTTCCAGGAAACCGATATGTCCACCACGTGACGTTACCACTACGGCCACGTTTTTAGTTTGACTTATCTCTTTCAAAGGTATCGCTAAAATATTCAGATCGTTAAGTAAAATCGTATGAAAATGTTATCATTGTCGCGCTCTTGTTTCTCACCTTGCAACGGCTGAAACGGATCGTCTGCCGCGTTAAGGCACAAACTCGGAACTTCGATTAGATGCAGCTTGTCGTGAAGCGTTGCATTACTATAATACTCTTCGACGTTTTTATATCCAAAGTGCCTTGCCGTAAAATTCGAATCAAATTCTCTTATTGTTTGGCTCTATCGGATATAATAATTCATAGTAATTATTATGAGTCAGATTTAGAATGTCAAACAATGATATGATGATACAAAACGTAAACAGAATTTATCTCTAAATTAAAAATCTTGATTAAATTCATAAAAAATTCATTATCTAGAAATAAACTACGATATATCTATCTTTTTGTGAAATCAACTGTAGCAATGTGAAAAAGAAAAAAAAACAAAAGATAAAATATAAATTCCCAGTAAGCAAGGAACATTCTGAAACATTGCGCAACATTGTAGTAATTAATTAAATGTTGTTGAAATATTTCTAAATGTTTCTTGTTTATTGGGTTACTGCTTTTAAAATAAATTATATATATTCTGTTAAATTTTGACGTAAACTTAAAAATATTACTGTCATTTCTACCAATAGATTAACAACTTTTGTTTAATTTACTCTTCATTCTTTTCTAATTTTTAAAACTACAAAATAAAAAGTAAATTGAACTAAAATTAAAGTTAATCTACATTGATAGAAACATTGATAGGGTTTACGTCAGAAAAGTTAATTCAATATATTATCCGATCTTTCCATATAGTCATGATTTGATAAAATCATACCTTAAGAACAGTATCCATATCTACGTTGAAAGGACCAACATCTCTGTGTCGCTGCATCGTGCGACATAAATTGCTGGCTAGATGCTTATTCAGCATTCGATTAAAATAATTTTCCTCGGTACTCTTCGTCGCTGCAAACACATTCCATGGTACCGAAATAATAAGGCACGCTCTCAATTTGGACCTTGCTATTAAACCTTTCTGTGCTAAATAATTACCTAAGATCAACCTGCACATAGCAAAAAAAAGACATGCAATGCTTTACAAAAATGTTATTTATTAATGTACAACAAAATGCTCAACTATATGTATTTTATTTTGTAAAATATTGTACATTGTATACGATTTATTTATTAATTGAAGAATAAATTAGACATAAATATAATTTTTTTACCCTCCCATGGAAATCCCGGTTGCTCCGAGAGGTACATGTGGATGAAGTTTCTTCACGTGTTCTATGACTTCACTTAAATCATCAGAGTTAGCGGCACAATACGTTCGTGGAGTCTAAAAGTAACAAAAGAAGGGGAAAATTTTCATTACATATTATAGAAAATTCTTTTCGATTAAATCCCTGCTATAATAAACAATAAATAAATAACGAGATAATTGGAAAAATTATCGTTCACAAATATGTCCTACCTTGAGTTGCAATCCACCTAAGCCTCTATTATTGAAAATTACACATCGTATTCCATTTTTTCTCGCGGCTGATACCAGACATTTGACATATTCTGCTTGGCTACCGCCTGTAAGACCAGGTAAAATAACGACGATTGGCGAGGTGATCGAGCAGTCTTTCTCGGCCCAATCCAAGGCCACTTCACCACCGTCGGACAAAGCAAGAATTTCTCTGCGTAATGTAAAGAGAGTGCTATATAATGGAATCTGATTGAACGCGCATTGTTTTCCAAATTTAAGTCTAGTACTCGACGAATAATTATGTTGGTTTAGTCTCCGTATATTTTTACCAACCTGCGATATTCGAGGTATGGTAATATCCGAGATCTCAAAATGCTGGCCATAATGGTCTGCGCTCGTGATTCGAAACACCATAACGTCGGCCAGAATTTATTTTGCACAAGTGGAATGTTGGTTTCCAAGAATGAACGGAATGGTCCATTGGCACAAACCAGCAAGGGTGTCTGAAAGCATAATAGTTATTTTTGTTATTGTTATTTTCTATAATGTATACAAAAAATATATAATACATTATATATATATATATATAATGTGTATAATAGAACATACATGTAATATGTGATATATGTGTATTTTATGTGTATAGAATTGCACTTTTCATTTTTTTTGTTTTATAAATAGTACGTATACATATCTTAGTTTATATATAATATTTTATAATATCGGATATTTCCTTTGTTCTTCTTCAATAGATATTAGTTAA